GGTTAAATAACTACAGCAACAACAAACCTTTATTTTACCGTGATACGTTGACGACATTTTTGTATTTTTCATAACAAGACGAAGCATTACTCTTTACGAATACATCAACAAACAACATCAAAGCATAAACTTTACATACGAAACCGAACAAGACAATCAGTTACCCTTTCTTGACATCTTACTAACTAAATCACATGAAAACTGTATGACCTCTACGTACCACAAACCAACATATACAGGACTACTGACTAACTTTTTAGTTTCACACCATTAAATTACAAAATTGGACTGATACGAACACTGACCGACAGAGCACGGAAACTCAACAACACAGACATCGGCTTTCAACGTGATTTAAAGAAACTAATATTCACTCTCCAACGTAATTCTTTTCCTTTTCATTTCATCAACAACACTATACAACACTATTTGTACAACAAGAAAAGCACTGACTCATCTAACTCCACAACTAACACTAACGATATACAACAACCTGACAATAAACGTTATTTCAAACTACCTCACATAGGTGATTACTCACGACACACACAACGCAAACTCACACAAATCATTAAACGCTATTGCACTGACATTGACGTTAAACTTATTTTCACATCTTTCAAAATAAAATCTTTATTTTCGTTTAAAGACCCACTTCCCGAACTTTCCAAATCTATGGTAGTTTATCAATTTTCATGTGCGGGATGTAATTCCCGTTATATTGGTGAAACTTCTCGCCAATTATCTACCAGGATAAAGGAACATACTCACACAGACAAAAACTCCACTATCTACAAACATCTTTAAGCCTCTCCTTCATGTAAAAACAAATTCTCACCTTCCTGTTTTAAAATCATCGACACTGATCAATCCACTTTCTCACTCAAAATCAAGGAAGCTCTACACATTAATAAAACTAATCCCGATTTAAATATCCAAGTTCACCACTAGAACACTATATTTACTTTATAATAATACTTTTGTTATAAATTCTTAATACTTATTTTTAGAACTTACGTTATAGTTATTAATACTTAATACTCATTGTAATTAATTTACTCATATCATATTATGTATCAAATTACTTAACACTAATCATTCTGCACTGAAGATGGCATTCTGATAATGTCGAAACATGTTTGCTCTCAAAAAAATCGTCGTTTTTCTCAAGTGTTTTTTAAAATTGCTGCTAATTAGAAATTATGGTAATATCTTCATTAAATGGTGCATATCATTTACCAACACCAAATTTTTAATTCGAACAAAAATTCCACGCATCAGCTAATTTTCAGCATTATCAATTACCAACACAATTCATTCAGCAGCCACTCCAAACTACAGCATTACTCATTGCGACAATAATCTCAAACAATACCAATCATTATAGAAGTTATGTGAATAAAAATAACATATTACATTTATTATTTTGTTCTGAGCCACATGCAATGTTTAATTACTTCATATACTTTAGTTCGGTTTTTAAAAGAGAGATTTCAAATGATAAAGGTGATCTTTTCCTGTTAGTTACAATAGCTTTATGTTGCTATATTATCAAATTTTTTGAATATGTTCCATTAAACCGTCTATATATGAAGGTAATTCTGAATACTTTGACAACATCTTTGTCTAACCCAAAAAAGTATTCTATCTTTCCTTTCTTGCATATATTAGCCTGCCAATTGTTTATGTATTTCAGTACGTATAGAGAAAACTAATGTACAAAACAAATATTTTTATTAAGGTATCTATTCTTGGCAGAAAGTACAGAACTTTTCTTATGGTTATGGAGCATGACTGCAAATAAACATCATATTCGTTCAGTTTCACTTCAGTCAATAGCACATCATCTAACGCTTGACATGGCTAAAGAAAAAATTTATTGGCGAGTTTCAAACGGAAATCTTTTTTCTTGTGATTACTATTCCCATAATGTAATTGATTTTGGAACTTCAGGAGGTCCCATGGCAGTATTTGGGGATTATATTTATATCATGACTAGTGTTGGACGAAGTGTCGTTAGTGTCCATAACACAACAGATCAACGTACGAGACGTAAATTTTTTCTTCCTGTAAACAACGCTTCTCTTGATTTGGCTGTAGCAATACACAGTATCACTCCTGACTCAAACGGTAGGTAAATATTTACCTATTTGACATAATAATCTAAGACTTGCAAAACTCCCACGCTAATGTTCATAAAATAGAAAGACGTTAAAAGTTCAAAGTTACATTGCCTTAGTAAACGGTTGTTCTTCCTTCCAAAATTATAGAAAATTTGATGAACATTAAGTTCAAAGTGCAAAGTGTCTAATTTGGACATTTTGCCGTTTGTCTATTCTTATCAAACTTCTTGGGTGTTAAATTTAAGTCTTTATTGTTTCTTACATCATTTAAACAATTACTTGGGCTTGAAATCAGTCTTAAATAAAAAAAATCATGAAAATAGATTGAAAGACAAAAACGTCCAAATTGAGCATGTTGTGCAGTGAGCTTAATGTTTATCAAATTTCTTAAAATTTCAGTATATTGCAAAACAGAGTTTAAACTTTTACATCTTTGGATTAAACTAGATTTGAAACTTTTCATTTTCTTTGTGCATGCTGTTCAAATTGAGGCGATTACGAAGTACTCTCATGGTTTTCGAGATTAATTGTTTATTCATTTTACTTTAAAGGCATGCCAAAATACATGAGCTTTGACACATTTTGTGAGAACTACTGATGAATTGATAATTTTCTAAACATTTTTCATTTATCTTACTTCTTTAGTATATCCCTTAAAGTGTATCAAACAGCCAGCAAATTTGTTCATACTCTGTAAATTTTCAACATTTATTTAATTGTTTTGTTTTTACGAAATGCGTAACACTAAAAATACCAACATTGCATAACAAACTTGCTTGCTGAGTACGTCAACGTGCATACTGAGTGACAAATTGTGTTCTTTGAGGAAGAATATGTTTCGTTTAAAATCCCTGGTTGATTTTATTTTTAATTTTATTGATGGATATAGCGACAAGCACTTTTCACTTTCCTTTGTGTGGACCGTACACATACTATCGTAAAATTAATGGGACATTGAACTGCACGTGTATGGAAGGATACTCAGGAGAATGTAACTCGTGCCAAGGTATGGATTTATTACTGTCTTTATGAAGATTTTTTATCACCGATCATGGATAAAGAGCATCTCTGTGCGGTTTTAAAACTTTGTTCTTTGTTGAGAATCCTGAGCTGTTCTCTGTGCTGTTGCTTCTGTGCAAGGAATTTGCTGCATCTACATTTTACATGTGACCACAAAAATAAGGCTCACAGCCACACATACAAGTTCATCATTATCAATACAATCAAGCAGGAAATCAGTAATAAATTTATGAAAAGCTTCAATACACTTAAAACTTCCTAAGCACACAACATTGAAAGTGTATGGTTCTCTAAATGACAATAGCATATGTTAGCATTAACACATTTTGAGTTTCTCTACATTAAGGAGGGGTTAGGGTTAGGGTTAGGGTAAGGGTTAAGGTTAGGTTTAACACTCCTCCTAAAGTTAGTAATCTCTTTATGGCCCTGCTAACCTAGATACACCATATTAGACTGTCTTGAGTTTATTATTGCTTGGCTTTCGTAAACTAAGAATTCTGTAAATCCAAACTTAAAAAAGCATTCTGACAGATATGTATCCAGACCTCCTAGATGAGATAAATTTTCAAAATTCCAATAATATATCCTGTTGGAAACTGTACGATATACTATTATATTGCTCTATGTATAGAACTCATAAAGTAGTGAGTTTATCTCGTTCGAAATTTAAATTTATTCTATTATGTTTACACTATGAGTAACAAGGCTGAAGCAAAGGCAATGGAGCATAAGAAACGGAAACGTCATCAAAATACTAAACTTTTTGGGAGAAAGTTATATCACTTAAAGTCCCAACAATTTTTCTAAGCTTACAGGCCGCGCAATTAGTCATTCGCCGCTTAGTTTGGGAGGTATGCATTGATAATGTTCATTCATACATATCTTGTTAATTTTCGATGTAAGGAAATTGGGTTTTACTATTAAGCATTCACTACCTTTAAAAACCTAAATAAGCAATACTTTTAAGAGGTACAATAAATAAAGACAAAAAATGTATGTAAATAATGTGTAATAACGTTTTTCAGTAGATGGCATTAAATTTCTACTGGGTTTAATAAAATTTCAAATGACTTTCTTACCATTCAATTTAACGCTAATAGAGTTAGACTGGAATTTTTTATTCAGACATAAAAAAATTTCATGTAAGCACACATTACAATGAAATTGACTTTAATCTGGAAAATTAGGAATGTTAGTTAAAATGGGCGTAAAAATGAGCTGTATTTGACAGCTTACCTCAAGTTCATGCACATTTTTGGTGTTATGGTTTCCTTATTTTAATATTTCTTTCTCCATTACAATATTATGGAATGAATTAGTCTAAAACAGACAGTTGATTATGCACAATATAAATACATAACAAATCCACATCAACACTTAAAGATTATTATAACCATCCATTTAAACACAAAGGTTTCCCCTTATGATTAAAATGTCAAGTGTTAGCCGGACTACATAAGCTTCACAATCAATTTCTTTTATTTCTTTTACAAGTTCTATACAATTTTTTTAAGAATTGTATTCTATTATACTTTACTCTGCAATTTGTGGCTACTCTACAAAACCAGCTCAAAGACCCTCCTCATTCCCTAAAAACCCTTAAGGTATTGAAAGACTTGTTTTAAACAACATCTGTCTGCAAAACACAATCCTGCCTGTTTAAGCATTTTTAATCAGCTTTTACAGTTTAAAAGTGCATAGTAAATATTCTATTCTATTCGTACAAATCATTCTAAAAATAATTACTTGTTATTGTTGTCTTATTTATTTTTTCATTCGTCTAGGAAGCTGTCCTTATAATTGGTGGCATATAGAATCATCTTGTTATTTCTTCAGTGGAAAAAGAGCAACATGGAAGGAAGCAAGAAAACTTTGTCAACTGATGGGAGGAGATCTTGCTGTTCCAACGAATAAGGCTGAGAATAATGCCATTTACAGAACCCCCTTAGAAACTCCTCATTTTATTGGTTTGTATCGCAATAAAAGCGACGATCAGTTCTACACAGTTCAAAATGGCAAGCCCAGTTTCCCATCATGGTATTGGAAAGATTCTCATTATGTTGATGTAGAGTACTGCGTTGTAAGTTATAAATCCAAGTGGTATGATGTTGGATGTTGGCAACCTTATAACTTCATCTGTCAACGTGAGAGACGTAATTTAAGCTGTGAGTAGCTTCTATAATTATCAATACATTAGGTACTTTACATAAATGTACTATTTTGTGGTAAAATTGGTGCATTCTTTAGTTATTGTTTTCCTGCCAAAAAATTGTTAGAACTAGATAACTCATTCGAAAATGTAGCAGATTGTTGAGCACTAAAAGCGAATTCTCACCTTTTTGTGCAACTAAGAGTGATTCAATCAATGGCCCAAGGTGAAATGTTAATGGCATGAAGACAAATAATTCCCTTATCGCCAAAAATAATTTAACATATTCAACTAATATTAATGTGGTACCAAATTTGGCCAATCTGAAAAAATGCAAGTATATTGGCTCATACTTAAAGATGTCAATTCAATAAAGAACTGATATGCAGGGAATGGTCACTTTAATACCAAAACTAATTGCGAGTTATGTTTAGTAATAGATTTGCCCGAGTAAATGTATCAAAAACGGAACCTTAGATAAAGCTTCCCCAAACTTATATAAATTCAAAAGACCTGCTTTTAGGCAATAATGAAAATGCCATACCTTCTTAGCCATTCCTATTTACATAACTTCTTTATCTGTCACGCCCTACTGCTGAGCACATTAGGTCATAAAACATGAATATTCGCACATATATAAATATTCAACCCCCCCTCCAATCAACGTTCTAGTTTTGGACCTGGTCGTAGCCAACCTGCTTGTATTTAGTCTTGTTTTGTTGGTTTTTCTGTGTTTATTTACTTAGAAAACAATAAATTTGAAAATAAACAGTGCTTGATGGAACAATGAATAAGGCTTGATTGAATAACATTTTTTTAAAATTTTACGGATGGATGCAACGTCTCCAAATACCGCTGCTTTTCATACCAAGATATGCATATCAATGACGACATGCTTGGATCAAATATGATTTTTCCATTTCTTGTAAAAATTTTTTTTAAAGGATTTATTGCGGGTAAACCGTCGAGCTTGTTTGGTATAGATGATATGCTTTAATTTCATATAATTTTGTTAGTAGATGCATTTTCATTTGCAAAGGTAATCCAACATCTTGAATTAACAAACTCAAAATTTCTGACACTTGCAACGACAGGATATGATGATTAATATGCCTCTGTTGTGTGAATTTTTCCAAAGCTAATCTCATTGCTTTAAATGGCTAAGTTGTTTTTCGTTTTTTTTTATTAATGATGAAAATAATTCAAAATAGCAACCGTCGTGGGTACACGTCACACTTCATAATTCATAGTCCTATTAGCTATGTAAGAACTAGGTTTGATTTATATCATAAATGCCGCCTTATCAATCCCACTACCAGATTTAACTTTCTTTATGTGTGGTTCTGCTTGTAGCCCTTGATGAGCAATCTTCTATTGTGTACAGTAAATGATCGTTAATTAATGTATTCTGTTAATAGACTCATTCTTGTTTTCAAAAATCAAACGTAGTCTGTTTGATTTACAAAAATATTTGTCTAAACGAATCTAGAAAGTTGTGTTACAAATAAATTACTAATACATAAAGTCCCAAAAATCACAGATCTCACGATACTCTCATTTGTTACAGAATTTATTTGACGTTTTAGATGTTGATTTGTTCATATCAAATACATGTATTATAATTTTAGGACAACTATGTTTTTACATTCTCGTAAAATCAATTAAGAAATATTCAAACCTAATAAATTAAACAAAAAATTTCATATTTATTTATTACACATCTTTAAATTAGACATAAAAGTGCTTAATTTATGGTACACATATTCAAACAACTTTATTGTGAAACATTAGATATCAGCGAATGTCAGCCTTCTCCTTGTGGCAAAGATCAGTCATGCATAAATATCCCAGGCTCTTACATATGCCTATGCTACACTGGATACAAATTTGACAAATCCAAAAAGAAATGTATCGGTAAGTTGGTCTTTCTAGATCTTTTAACTTATGTTGCAAGCTTACGTGACTTCATGAAAATTCTTTGAAAAACTGCTTGAACTGTTAAAATATGGGAAATGCCTGACAAGGTCTTGTGTTCAAGTGCACAAATTATTAGCTAACTCAAGAAGGGCGTTTCTCGAAAGTCTCTGCTGATTAAGTGAATTAAAAGCTAAATAGATAACAATTAGTGGTTTATGTTACATTTGAACTGACTTAAGCTTGTTTAAAGTGAGCATTTTATGTGAAACCAACATAAAGTTGGCATTCACTTAATTAGAATTCAATTTATAAGTAAACACAGTGAAATGTGGTTCTGATTGGTCAATAGCTGTGTTTTCATTAGTCTGTGCAAAACAGATACGAATTCAACCAATCAAATCAATCAAATTGCAAATCGATCACAAATGCATTCTAGGGGTAAAGTTAAAACGTCTGTTTTCAATTTGTCTGTTCACTTTATTGTTGCTTTATAAAAGAAATAAATGATGTTTTCGTGTTTGCACTGGCTTATGCAAACCTTAGAGACGTTTTGTGAGAACTTTCAAATTCTCGATCAGCTCTCAAGCTCTAACTTCCAAAGGTCTCCTCGGGGATGGCATAAGCCTGTGCAAATACATTAAACAACTTTTATTTCTTAACTAAAGGCCACGTCATTGTTTATAATATTCTTAGGTTGTTGGTTTAAAATATGTCATCTGTCATTTGAGTTATTGCATATGGTCAAAAAATTATGTGTAGTGCAAAAGTGCAATTGCCATTTTTCATGTAGCTATTGCTGAAAAGGGTAATTAATTATTTTAAATAAAGTTTATCAATCAATCAACAATGACAACAGCAAGCACATAAAAAGAAAGTAGATTGGAGATATAGTAGGTTTAGCATTGAATTTTCAATTGAATTACTCTTATTGCAGTATTTTCCCCTGAATTTAAGAAAAATTAGTTGTCGTTACATTTCCTTATAACTTTAAATTTCTGACAAAAATTATCAGTGGGGGAGATCATCTCTGATCTACTACCTCCCTGAGATTCCCGTTTAATATAAAAATCTTTTAGTTTATCATTTACCATCAAGTAGGCAATCAGTTTGAAATCAATATAAAGGAAACAATATTGTCCATAGTAGTATTAGTTTTGATTACATTAGCTACCCGTCACTGGAATTTTAAAAAACTTTATTTAGTCTGCCTGACCCTGACATCAAAAAATGTTGGTCAAGTGATTCTAGGAATTTTTTTGTAATAGTAGTCTCAACATTTTTGATGTATACATGGTGATATGTTTCATATATGATACAAATGGTGTATGATATATGATGAATGAGTATTTTTGTGTGAATTTACTGAATTTTGCTTGTATTCTAAAACTTCAATCACACTCATTCTCAAAGATTGCAACACAGAAATCGCGCTCCTACCAAGTAATGGCAATTTAATGTATTCAACAATGGCATGTTTTTTTGCCAAAATATTTCAAATTATAGCTACGCCATGAAAATTTGCGAGGGGATTTTGAAACTTCATTCGATGTGTGTGGTTAGGGGTAAGCCTTTAAAAAACAGGCATTTGTCTTAATGTTTATTTCAAGTTATTACAGCTTTTTTGACTTTTTATTATTATAGATGCCAACGAATGTCAGTCTTCTCCTTGTGGCGAAGATAACTCGTGCATAAATATCCCAGGCTCCTACGAATATCGATGCTCCACTGGATACAAACTTCACAAATTTAAAAAGAAATGTATCGGTAAGTTGGTCTTTCTAGATCTTTTAACTTATGTTGCAAGCTTACGTGACTTCATGGAAGTTCTTTGAAAACTGCTTGAACTATTAAAATATGGTAAATGCTTGACAAGGTCTTGTGTTTAAATGAACAAATTATTAGCTAACTCAAGAAGGGCGTTTTTCGAAAGTCTCTGCTGATTAAGTGAATTAAAAGCTAAATAGATAACAATTAATGGCTTATGTTACATTAGAACTGACTTAAGCTTGTTTAAAGTGAGCATTTTATGTGAAACCAACATAAAGTTGGCATTCACTTAATTAGAATTCAATTTATAAGTAAAGACAGTGAAATGTGGTTCTGATTGGTCAATAGCCGTGTTTTCATTAGTCTGTGCAAAACAGATATGAATTCAACCAATCAAATCAATCAAATTGCAAATCGATCATAAATGCATTTTAGGGGTAAAGTTAAAACGTCTGTTTTCAATTTGTCTGTTTCACTTTATTGTTGCTTTATAAAAGAAATAAATGATGTTTTCGTGTTTGTACTGGCTTATGCAAACCTTAGAGACGTTTTGTGAGAACTTTCAAATTCTCGATCAGCTCTCAAGCTCTAACTTCCAAAGGTCTCCTCGGGGATGGTATAAGCCTGTGCAAATACATTAAACAACTTTTATTTCTTAACTAAAGGCCACGTCATTGTTTATAATATTCTTAGGTTGTTGGTTTAAAATAAGTCATCTGTCATTTGAGTTAACACATATGGTCAAAAAATTATGTGTAGTGCAAAAGTGCAATTGCCATTTTTCATGTATCTATTGCTGAAAACGCTAATTAATTATTTTAAATAAAGTTTATCAATCAACAATGACAACAGCAAGCACATAAAAAGAAAGTAGATTGGAGATATAGTAGGTTTAGTATTGAATTTTCAATTGAATTACTCTTATTGCAGCATTTTCCCCTGAATTTAAGAACAATTAGTTGTTGTTACATTTCCTTATAACTTTAAAATTTTTGACATAAATTATCTTTGGGGGAGATCATCTCTGATCTACTACCTCCCTGAGATTTCCGTTGAATATAAAAATCTTTTAGTTTATCAAGTACCATCGAGTAGGCAATCAGTTTGAAATCAATGTAAAGGAAACAACATTGTCCATAGTAATATTAGTTTTGATTACATTAGCTACCCGTCACTGGAATTTTAAAAAACTTTATTTAGTCTGCCTGACCCTGATATCAAAAAATGTTGGTCAAGTGATTCTAGGAATTTTTTTGTAATAGTAGTCTCAACATTTTTGATATATACAAGGTGATATGTTTCATATATGAAACAAATGGTGTATGATATATGATGAATGAGTACTTTTTGCGTGAATTTACTGAATTTTGCTTGTATTCTAAAACTTCAATCACACTCATACTCAATGATTGCAACACAGAAATCGCGCTCCTATAAAGTAATGGCAATTTAATGTATTCAACAATGGCATGTTTTTTTGCCAAAATATTTCAAATTATAGCTACGCCATGAAAATTTGCGAGGGGATTTTGAAACTTCATTCTCTGTGTGTGGTTAGGTGTAAGCCTTTAAAAAACAGGTATTTGTCTTTCTGTTTATTTCAAGTTATTACAGCTTTTTTGACTTTTTATTATTATAGATATCAACGAATGTCAGTCTTCTCCTTGTCGCAAAGATCAGTCATGCATAAATTTCTCAGGCTCCTACGCATGTCGATGCTCCACTGGATACAAACTTGACAAATCCAAAAAGAAATGTATCGGTAAGTTGGTCTTTCTAGATCTTTTGACTTATGTTGCAAGCTTACGTGACTTCATGAAAGTTTTTTGAAAACTGCTTGAACTATTAAAATATTGGAAATGCTTGAGAAGGTCTTGTGTTTAAATGAACAAATTATTAGCTAACTCAAGAAGGGCGTTTCTCGAAAGTCTCTGCTGATTAAGTGAATTAAAAGCTAAATAGATAACAATTAGTGGTTTATGTTACATTAGAACTGACTTAAGCTTGTTTAAAATGAGCATTTAATGTGAAACCAACATAAAGTTGGCATTCACTTAATTAGAATTCAATTTATAAGTAAAGACAGTGAAATGTGGTTCTGATTGGTCAGTAGCCGTGTTTTCATTAATCTGTGCAAAACAGATATGAATTCAACCAATCAAATCAATCAAATTGCAAATCGATCATAAATGCATTTTAGGGGTAAAGTTAAAACGTCTGTTTTCAATTTGTCTGTTTCACTTTATTGTTGTTTTATAAAAGAAATAAATGATGTTTTCGTGTTTGCACTGACTTATGCAAACCTTAGAGACGTTTTGTGAGAACTTTCAAATTCTCGATCAGCTCTCAAGCTCTAACTTCCAAAGGTCTCCTCGGGGATAGTATAAGCCTGTGCAAATACATTAAACAACTTTTATTTCTTAACTAAAAGCCCCGTCATTGTTTATAATATTCTTAGGTTGTTGGTTTAAAATATGTCATCTGTCATTTGAGTTATTGCATATGGTCAAAAAATTATGTGTAGTGCAAAAGTGCAATTGCCATTTTTCATGTATCTATTGCTGAAAAGGCTAATTAATTATTTTAAATAAAGTTTATCAATCAACAATGACAACAGCAAGCACATAAAAAGAATTTGAAACTTCATTCTCTGTGTGTGGTTAGGTGTAAGCCTTTAAAAAACAGGTATTTGTCTTTCTGTTTATTTCAAGTTATTACAGCTTTTTTGACTTTTTATTATTATAGATATCAACGAATGTCAGTCTTCTCCTTGTCACTCTTTTTGCTTTTGCTGTAATGCTCCAGGCTCATTCCATTGCATACGACGTGGATGGGGTAATTGTTGGCTGTCTAGAGAGAGTTGTAAGTTTTATAAATGCTCTATGACAAATGTTTATACTATCCAAAGCTATAAGAAAGATTCCTGCAAAATATAGACAAAAGACCGAAGCAAAGAATTTAACTAGTCTATATATAATAGATGGTTACATTTTATCAGCAAATGAAGCATGTTGAAGTTCTAAAGTTCATTGTAAAATTTTTTCTTTGTATTTTTTTTAAAGTTGGTTGGCGAGGAGATTGCCTCCGTTGATGATGTTGCCAAAAAATTTGAAAAGGTTATACAAAGGTGAATTTAAATTTTTTCTTACGATGTTCATGTATAAAATTAAGAACCTCATAGAATTTTTTACTAAATTTCACGAAAATATTTCAATTCATTTTTCATTATTGCAAACGAAACGATATTCTTTGATTTCCAGCAATCTGATTGGCTGCAGTAGCGGGCATCTTTCTACGATACCTAAATTATGATCCAAAAGTGATATTTTTAGCAATAAGTTGGTTACAAAGTGAAATTTAAATTTCTAAAATTGATTTAAAAGCGATGTAAATTGTTCAACGATGAAGCACAGTGTATTCAGATGAAAGTCATCATAGCAAGACTAAATTTTACTGTCCTGAAGAAGTAAAATTTGTAGAAAAAAAATCCAATTTTCTTTTCAATATCAAGCTGTGTCGGCTATTTTACAACGCAAATTTCTTTATAATAAAAATAAAAATATGTTATTTACCGTTTAGGTCGGTCTTCACGGAAAAAATATTTTCACAAGGTCTTAAAGGCTCTGGTAAATAATATACATTTATTTCTATTTAGCGGTCCAAAGCGATATTTATTTGATTTCCAGCAATTTGATTGGCTGCATGGGCGGATAGCTTTTTACGCATATCTGCCCGTGGGCACAAATGTAATTTTTTTGCAATGTTATTGCTTGCGAATTGAAATGTAAATTTTTAAATATGATTTAAAAGCGATGTAAATTGTTGAACGAGTAGGCAGGATGTCTTAAGATGATATTTATCATAGCCAGAGTGAATTTTACTATCCAGACGAAGCAAAGTTTGTAGAAAATCCAATTTTAGTCTCAACATATCTTTTCGCAATGTATTTGTTTACGAAGTGAAATGCAAATTTTATAAAATTGATTTGAAAGCGATGTAAATTGTTTAACGAATAAGCAAGGTGTATTCAGATGAAAGTTGTCGTTGCAAGAGTGCATTTTACTGTCCAGACAAAGCGAAGTTTGCTGAAAGGCATCCAATTTTAGTCACAACATTAAGTTGCAGACCTTGTGAAAATATTTTTTCCGCATACGGACCTCCCAGCCGGTAAATACGTATTATACAGGGGCGGATCCATGGGGTATCCAATGTGGCACTGGAAACGGTCAGAATTCGACAAAAAACCTTGAAATTCAGACATTAAACATATATTTTCTTAGTTTATTCAGTTTATTGAGTCTATTTTTTAACCAAAAACACTAAAAAATAACACATGAAATGCACTTGTTGACGTACTCGAAATTCGCATTAAGCGACAGATTTTATAAATCATCGTATTATTACGCCGTTTAGATTTGTCTAATGTAATACGATTATCCTACAAAACGTAACTCGATTGCTGTTCGGAGTCCAGTTTTGCTGTTACAGTGGTATACAGAGCGTTGCCGCTGGCGCACTTCACCTTGAGAAAGCGTTGCCGCTGGCGCACTTCACCTTGAGAAAGCGTCGTTTCTAGCGCACCTCACAGTTTGAGAAGGAGTATACACAAATCTAAGCGCCCCAGCCTTAGCTCGCTTACGTACTTCTTGTAATTATGCTAGCATAATTACAGCGAAGGTCAAACCCAGGACAACGGCAGGAGCCAAAGACGGCGCGGCCGGCCGTCGGGGGTCTATTATTTAGAGAGATATACTCTCATAGAGTAATCCAAACGTTCGACAGCCATGATGCAGGGCAAGAACAAGTGTGCGTGGTTTCTACCCGAAAAGCTCACCACATGTGGGCGAAGCTCCATAGGTGAATACTGTGGACTTCATATGAAGCGATTAAGTGAAGGCGGGTGACTTCCACAACCATGTCGTAAGTGTAGCGTCAGAACACAGGCAAAAACTATCCTTTGTCAAGCCTGCGGTGCGGATAGGGTGCATCATAAGCTCATTTATAAACAGAAACAAGCAACAAAGAGATTTGCTAGAGTACTCGCCGAATTAATTTCGATTTAGAGAATTATCTCGCGTAAGATATAGCACTAAAATTTGCGACACTTGAGATGAATACTGTCGAGAAACTTCTGCAACTATATGACATAGGTGTAATCAGTGGACACGGGCTGAACGCCTCTCTTAACGCTCATCAACCTCCCGCTGACCCGACACCCACGCCAAAAAATGTCACTCCGCGTATCCCAAAACCACCCAAGCGCATGCCTATCCCAAAACCGCGCAAGCGCAGGCCCGCCGAGCCTATTGATGATGAGATGAACGCATACATCAATGAGCTTCTGGCTGAATCTAAACCACGACGCCCCACAAGGGCTACCCCCCACCACCTACTGAACTTAAGTGTGATGAAACGAAGGCTTTTAGCTATCATCTGAGAGCCTGGAAAATGCAGGTGCCGAACGGGCACCCCTCCGAACGCAACTTGATGGCTATCCTCAGAAACGCCCTACCCTGCATCAAACGCAAACTCGTCGAGGAGCTATTAGCTCTACGAGGAGTTAAGTTCTAGTTGGCTGTAGAGGTTGAGCTTCGGAACGATGAAGCAAATGGTACTGAAGTGCTTCAAGCACCAGTGTTCCGGACAAAGCAGATCACGCTGCTACAGGAGCATGAGATTCCGCAAGCCCTACATGAAGCTTTCCAACAATCCTGGAGAGATTGGGAAAGTTCACTCGGGAAGGGTCTGGGTGGATAGTGGATCGTGTCAAAACACTCTGGCTTGACATCGCTCACTATCAGCCTTTACGCGGAGGCTCATACCTTCCTCTCCCCACCGGCGTCAAAAATAAGAAGGCAATCGTCAACGTGAAAAACAAAGACGACGACTGCCTCCGCTGGTCTCTAAGGGCTGCGCTGTTTCCTGCAGCTAAAGACCCGCGACGGCCGGGCAAGTATCCCACTGAAGACGGCCTTGACTGTGCGGAGCGCACCCACACCACTCTCTCAGCTCGAACGAGTAGAGCCTGAGAACGACCTTGCTATCAACGTGTACGGGTGGGAAGGCGGCGTCGTTCCTTGCAGTCTAAGCAAAGTAGAGAGAGCTCGCAAGACTGTGAATCTCTTTCTCGTCTCGGATTCGAAAAATCCTGAGAAACACCATTACACTTGGATCAAGAACTTCAACCGCTTTCTCAACCAGAGTGGTCCCCATCAGCTGCACTTCTGTGAGCGTTGCCTTCAAGGCTTCGCCAGGCAGGTTTTGTTGGAAGAGCATAAACCTGAATGTCGAGGCATAAACCAGGCCGCGGTTGCTATCAGAATACCAACCCCCAGAAGCAAATGACAAAATCCGCCTTGAGAACTACCACAAGCAGCTCAAAGCGCCCTTCATAATCTACGCAGACTTCGAGAGCCTGCTTTTTAAGACCGAGGGCCCCGCGCTTAACCCCGAAAAGAGCGGCACCCAGCAAACTTCCAGACACGAGACATGCTGCTAATCATTCATAGTCGTTCGTTCGGATTGGGAAACTCAGCCGCCGCAGCTCTACCGAGGGCCCGACAAGGCCAAGCATTTCCTGGAAGCGCTCCAAGAAGAAGAGCGCAAGATAAAGACGGTGTTGGCTAACCCCGAACCTATGCACATGACAGGAAAGGATTGGGGGAGCCACAGGAAAGCCACAAATTGCCACGTCTGCAGCAAGCCCCTCGAAGGCAATTCCGTGCGAAACCACTGCCACATTACTGGCAAGTACCGAGGTGCGGCCCACAATGAGTGCAACCTGAAGTTGCAGCTCAACCCGAATATGACAACCTTACAGGTTGTCTTTCACAACCTGCGGGGATACGACAGCCATCTCATCATGCAGACTAACGCAAAGACTGAAAGGAAGATCACCTGCATCCCCAACAACGCCGAGAAATAAATCTTCTTCAGCATCGGCCAGGGCCGATTCATCGACAGCGCCCCGTTCATGCTCTCAAGCCTGGATCGCCTGGTGAAAGCCAGCGACCCGCAAGACATTCGCATCACAGCAGACTACGAGCTGAACCTCCAGAGGCGTACCCCCTTGCTCGGGAAGGGGATCCACCCCTACGAGTACATGGACAGCTGGCCCCGATTCGACGAGGAGGCCCTCCCGCCGAAGGAGGCTTTCTACAGCAAGCTCTCCGGCGAAGGTATAACCGATGGTGACTACGCCCACGGAAAAGGGGTCTGGGAGGCCTTCGGCTGCACAAACCTCGGTGACTACTACGACCTCTACCTTTGGACCGATGTCCTCCTCCTCGCTGACGTCTTCGAGAACTTCCGAAAGCTGTGCCTCGAGCGATACCGGCTAGACCCGGCCCACTATTACACGAGCCCGGCCTAAGCTTGGATGCTCTCCTCAAGCACACAGGGGTGGAGCTCGAGCTGCTCACCGACATTGACATGCATCTCTTCATCTAGAAGGGCCTGTGCGGTGGGATCAGCATGGCCAGCAGGCGCTTCGCCAAGGTCAACAACCCCAAGGGCCAGACTACGATCCTGGGGAAGCTCCAAAGCTGGATCCAGTACTACGACGCCAACAACCTGCACGGCTGGGTGATGTCGCAGCCGCTGCCAAGAGGCGCGTTCGAGTGAGTCGCCAAAGAGGATGTGAAGGCGGCCCTGGACCATCCTGTGGATGCAGAGAAGGGCTACATTCTCGAAGTCGATCTGGAGTATCCAGAATAGCTGCATGACGAGCACAATGCATATCCGTTAGCGCCAGAACGCCTGAAGGTCGACAACGCGTGGATGTCGGATTACCAGCAAAATCTCCTCAAACAGATGTATGGGGGTGCGTCTCACGAGGTCGAAAAGCTGGTCCCCAATCTGCGCGACAAGGCCCAATACGTCTTGCACTATCGGAATCTACAGCCCTCTCTTCAGCTTGGCATGCGCCTGAAAAAGATTCACAGAGCGCTCCGCTTCGATCAAAGCCCATGGATGGAGCTCTACATCCGGAAAAACACCGAACTCCGGAAGAAGGCAAAGAGTGACTTTAAAGTCAACCTCTACAAGCTTCTGAATAACAGCGTCTTTGGCAAGACGATGGAAAACCTCCGAAAGCGTGTCGATGTGAAGCTTCTCCGAAGAAGCGAAATCGAGAAACTCCGCAAACTTATCGCCAAGCCGACATACAATCGGCATCTCATCTTTGGCGATGCGGGAGACCTCGCAGCCCTTCACATGAATAAAAGCAGTCTGCTGCTCAACCGGCCTGTCTTCGTGGGCATGAGCATTCTCGACCTCTCGAAGCATCTGATGTACGTCTGTTACTACAACCATCTCAAGGTGCAGTAATGGTCGTCAGCAGAGCTCCTCTACACCGACACCGACAGCCTTATGCTGGAGATGCAGACTGAGCACGTGTACGCCGACATGAGACGCAACGCCGGTTAGTACGACACCAGCAACTACCCCAAAGACCATCCGCTGTTCAGCACAGCCAACAAGAAGGTGCTGGGGAAATTGAAGGACGAGTGCGCTGGGGTGCCAATCGCTGAGTTTGTGGGGCTCAGGCCCAAGATGTACTCTATCCTGAAAGCCGATGGTCTGAAGGAGCGCAAAGCCAAAGGTGTTAAAAAGGCGCTATTTGAAGCAAAGTGCTTCCTCCACGGTATGGATGTGCTGCGCAGTCGTGGGCATCAGATCTTCGGCGAGCATGTCAACAAGACATCGTTGAGCCCGCTGGACACGAAGCGCTGGATCGCGGCCGATGGGATCTCTACCCTAGCATACGGGCATAGGGAAGCCGGTGCCGCAGGCGAATAAATAATAAATGCGTAGTTATGCTGATGATTAGTTCTGATGTGATAATTACAGTAGAAGAGCTGCTCCACGGCTAAGCGTAAGGTAGTACCTGGTAGTGAAACCTTTCATAAAAAGCGTGACAGGACCCCATCAACTAAGCCAGCGGTATTTCGGTCCCAAAGGGAACCACTTGGAGCTCCTCGCGTACAATCGCGCACTTGGGCCCATCGGTCAAATAATACAACACAGGCTTCCCACCCTCAAACACAGCTTGCTCGACCTGATAGGAGGTCACACTCCATAAAGGATTGGTCGCCCTACGCCATTCGCCACCCTCAAGTTCGCCAAGCGCATACAAATACCGCACCACAACATCCGATGGCAAGCGTCGCTCTTTGAAACCAACTGGACGAAGCGCCGGCGCAGCGGGTTTGGCCTTAACGCTCTTCTTCCGATTCGAAGGGGAAGGCTTTTCGCCCGTAAAACGGGTAGTTTCATTATTGAGCGCTTCAACCACCTCAGTTAATCTTGATACCCATTCTTTGTTCCGAGTTGAAGGCTCAGCCAGCTCGCGATGATACTGGTAACCGAACAATCGCTCCGCCAAAGTTCGGTTAAATCTTTCTACCATCCCCTGATCTCTATAAACTCCAATCTTACCCCGTTAAAATTGTGACACCATTTTTATCACACGCTTTTTGCACAGCCCCGCGAAACTCCGAACCAGGTTCGATTTGTAAAATTTTAGGCCTTCGAAGAGGCCCACGGGCATAATTAGACTCTAACGCCTTCCCAACCTGAGTCGCTGTCTTGTCTGTGATTGCTTAGGCCTCCTTATACCGACTTGCTACGTAGACGACCGTCAATGCGTATTTGAATGTGCGTCTTCCGACTCGATCGTGAGGCAGATACAAGAGATCGGCCTGGTGGATCTCTTTTGGGGTGCTGATATCAAACTTAGGTCTGGGGATAGCACTTCGCACTGGTGCGGGAAAGTAGATCTGCCAGATGGCTTGTTAGCCATTCATGAGCCTCATCCTCGCCGACGCCAGCCTCTTTAGCCAGCTTTGGGGTAGCAGCAATGCCGCGCCAGTACCCCGCAGGACTGTAGTAGGCCTCTACGAGGCGTTCCTCAACGCTTCCATCCGTAGAAACGATTATTTTTCCTCCATTACGACGAGATTCGCTTTGGGAAAGAAACCTAGAAACAGCACTACCACATACACCACAGCACCCTGCAAGTCTGGGGTTGCCGTTAGTGTTTGCAACTATACCACTTATAACTGGTTGCAGTCTTTTGCAACGCATACAAAACGCGACCGTCATTTTCACTTGACTATGTTTTAGTTTGATGTGTTGTGTTCACCAAGCTTTTCTGATTTTATCAATTTTATCCGCGGCTTTGATTGCGAAATCAATAGGATTAATACCAAATGGAAGGGCACTATTCAAACCTCTTATTCTTCCTCCCTTTTTATCCAGAAGTTCACTCTTAGAAAGAAACTAGGAAACGCCTCTGTCACAGACTCGGCAGCGCCCGTTGGCTTTTTGTATATTCGATTTTTCCTTTGACAACAAGTTGACAACGTCTTTGGCTCCTGCCGTTGTCCTGGGTTTGACCTTCGCTGTAATTATGCTAGTTTAATTACAACAAGTACGTAAGCGAGCTAGGGCTGGGGCACTTAGATTTGTGTATACTCCATCTCAAACTGTGAGGTGCGCTAGAAACGACGCTTTCTCAAGGTGAAGGGCGCCAGCGGCAACGCTCTGTATACTATTGTTACAATCAAAAAGGCGACCGCAAATCTTACCATTGGACATGGTCAGTGAGCGCTTTCTTGCGCAATTTCGGTATTTTTATCCACAGTGACGTTATTCTAAAGGGTGTCTAACTAATTAAAGCTCACAATTTTGATCACCTGATTGTGGAAGATCACAGTTGGCCACGGTTGCGCAATATTTATCGCGCAATTTCATAGTAATTCGACTGAATTAAAAATTACTTAATCCTAATATCCACTCACGCGTGCCGTGCGTGTTGTCAGTTTATATTCGGACAATATTCTCGACAATTCCGGTTAAAAACATGGATTCCATTGCTTTATCGAAAGTCATCGACCTTTTTTAGCATTATAACTCGAAGGATATCACTTCACTAGTGAATTAATATTGCTTCGAAAACAATGCGAAAAAGCTATTTCTGAGGGACGAAATCGTTTAGGTGATTGTAAACAGATTACAGTGCAGCTGTGTGCGAATTTTGAAAACTACAGTTTCCTAAGAGTCAGAGAGAACGATGAAAATCAAAGGCTCCTTTTCTTAATTATTTCATGTTAAAGTATTTATGAGTCTTCTATTGTTTTTGGCTAGGATACATGATGATAGTATATTCATGATTCTAGCTAACTATATTATGCATTTCTTGTTCTGGCAAAAAATTGAATAATGCATGATGAAATGATTAATTGTGTGTTTTACAGTGTTTTCAAACTATAATATACCTAAGAAACCTAACCATTAACTTTACAAAGGAAATCGTCTACCAATAAAGTAAAATTATTTATAATTATAGATGTTATGAAATATGTGTTACTAATTGGTGTTTGTGTTATTTTATACATATGGTCTCACTATGTTTTCATGTGACATCAAAGTGCTATGATATACTATCTATATTGTTTTGACACTCGACTGTGCAGGAAATGTACTTACTATTTTACACTATTTGCATTTTTATACAAACATCATCAACCAGCTCCACTGAAAACCCTTATTCATGACCTTTTCTCTGATTTATCAAAATATGTGTTTATAATATACACCAAGTATTCTTATCATTTTTATGAAGCTTGAAAGTAAATGTAAGTTTGGTATTTATCACTTTCTTTCTTTGAATATTGCAAATACTTCTCTATGTTTAATACACTGGCTGATGGGAACTGTGTGTACAATGCATGCTCCATTTCACTGGTAGGGGATAAAAGTTTATCACTCCATCTGTGTTACCTTACCAGCATCGAATTTTTTTAGAATGCTAAATATTATGCTCACCAAAAACATAAGGATGGGGCATTTACATGTTTTCAAAATGCATTTGCTATGTGTTTGTCTGATACTTCCCTTTCAGTATGTGAATAGAACAGCCATATTGCAGCAGCTTTGGGAGAAGCTAAGAATAATGCATACAGTTTTATGTATTCATGAATGATGTGTATGTTCTCGTTGGTATCTGTTACATCCTGCATTATTAAATCATACTACCCAATTGCAATTGATTGTTTACCAGATTAGTATTCTCTTTGAACATTGCTTGTTTTATCATGTTCCATGCATACTACTTCTTGCACACAGGAAGAAAGATGATGCATTAATTTTTTGTAGTGTATTGTATTGTTCTTTTTACTTTTCATTGCAAAAAATAACGTGCTTCATCTTTCTATTGCTACCAAGGAACAATACTATGATTTTGACTGTTTTGATTTGATTATGGTGTAAGACTTGGCAAACACTAGTAGTAATTACAGACAAATTTAAAACTGGCCAAAATTTGCGGATTTTTTTCCTGTTCAGATCATGGATAGAGTTTTCCTATAATCCTTCATGTATACTGAAAGCAGGAAATCGCTTTTCTGAGAGTTAAATTTTTTTAAAATTTTATAGGTTATGAGGAAAGATCCTAGTGATGGGGAATCATGTCAAAGAAATACACTAAAAATCTAATTCTAATTGAAGAAGCTTTTCGTAAAATGTGTCGTAGAAAATTTAAAAGCTTATGTAGAAAATGCTGTGTGTTTGACATTTTTATCCATTGTTAAAATGTATCTGTAATACAAAACTACGTGTAACAAGTTGTAATCAACCATATTATCATATAAAGTAAATGTACATATTGTCATAATGTATAAAAAAAGTAAAATGATGAATTTTATTTCTGCTAAGAATAAAATATTATTGATAAATCAAATGATTTACTGAATTACATTATTTTTGATAATTTACAAATCAAGATGTAAGATTTTCTTTTGAAGTTACACAAAGTTATTGCGTGGATTCCGCGAGACAATGCTGGTGATTGCTACCTACCATGCCGCTTGTACTGCCCACCAACCAGAGATGATCGCGATTGCATTATAATAAAATTAATAAAATCTTTTTATGATGTGTTTCCAAAGGAGAGTCAAACCTCGACATACTTTGTAATTAAAAGAAATCTTGAAAAAATCAATCTATTGTAAATCTTGACATTTAGTTTTTGTGTTGGGACTGGTTATCCTTTGGTTAATTTACCAATAAATTGATGCATTGTAGGAATCAGAAATATCTGGAGTATAATATCGAAATAAAAATTAAGAATCATTTTGTCTCACTCAAATTGGATGACGATTTTAGAAATTGACGTCAGATATTGCATTCATTAATGATTATGTTTCTAATCATTTATGATTTATCAAGCATCAAGCACAGCATAAAGTACAATTTCTTCAATTTCAATGTTTATGATTGTACAATGAATGCATATTATAAATTATTAGTGAAAACATTTCATTTTTTTTGAAATTTTCCTTAGTACAGACTACAGCAAAAGTGAAGTGTTAATCTTTCTCATGACATATATCAGTGAGGAATCATAACCAGATCAGTGCGGTATCCCTCAGAAAGTTTTGGCAATTCAGAAAATCTACTATTATGTAACGTTAAAGTATCGTTTGCTTGACATTATTTCATATTATAAAATAAACACAATGAAACACGTGCGCTGATTGGTCTAGACCTGTGTTTGCATTAGTCTGGGAAAAACGATCTGAGCTCAACCAATCAATTCAATCAATCAAGTAAAGAGAATTTGCAAATTAATCATGACTATACGTTAAAAGAATATTATAACGGTTTTTTCTTTCGTATTATTGTTATTTTTTTTTAAAAAAATTAAAAGATGTTTTTCGTGTTTGCACTGGCTTATGCAAATCTTGTAGACGCTTGTGAGAACTCTTGAGCATGTGTAACCCTCGACCTTCGGTCTCAGGCTTGCACTGATCTGCTCTCGAGTTCTCCCAAAGGTCTCCTCGATTTGCATAAGCCTGTGCAAACACATGCAGTAAACATCTTTTATTTATTAATTTGTGTACGAATTACTTCATTTGTAAATAACATCCTTGCTTTATTAGACAAAATATTTACGAAATGCTAAAACGTCAATGGTTTTAACAGAATCTGTTTACAATAGAATACATTTACTATCCTAGATAAGAACATGAGACATTTTCATTTCATTATGCCTAAGAAAAAGGTTTAACGATTTTCTTTACCTTTTTTTAGAAAGAACACTTATAATTCGATCAAACCTTTTTAATCTTCGTCGTTAGGTCCTTACAGCTCAACAACATAACGACATAGTGACATGATTGCCGATGGTGTTATAACATTTAAGTAAAATACATGGAATGCTACTTGTAATACAAAACCTTAATAATTTTTTGAAGCCGTGATTTTACCCCAGAAACGCGAGAATTTACTCCAGACACGCTTGTGAAGTCAATCAATTATTACTATATGCGAGAGTCTCAAAACACTAAGCACGCGTGTCTCGGGTAAAATCTCGCGTATCTGGTGTAAGATTTGAGCTTTTGGTTTTAATTATTAGCTTTAGGTTCCATGTATTTCCGACTTCTTGTAAAAAATTTTTCTCGAAGGATTGTTTTGTAAATAAATTGTTGAGAGTATTTAATCTGGATGATACGCTATAATTTGACATAATTATGTTAGTCAATGCATTTCGTTTTGCAAAGTTAATTCAGCATCTTGAATTAACAGACTCTAAATTATTGATTCCACGTAAAGAAAGAATATAATAATTGATATGCATCTGATATAAGAATTTTTCCTATTAACAATCTTATTGTTTTTAACGCCTAAGTTGTTTTTCATATGTTTTTTATTGACGAGAATAATTCGAAATAGCTAATATCGTTCGTACACGTGACACTTTATAGTCCTATTAACTATGTAGGTACTAGTTATGATTTACACCTTAACTGCTACCTTAACAATCCTATTACCAGATTTAACTATTTTTATTTGCACTAGTACTTGTAGTGCTTGTAAAGCACTCTTCTTTCATGTACACGCAGTAAATGATCGTTAATTAATTTCTTCTGTTAATGTTGACCAAAAATTTCCACTGACTTTGAGACTATTACTTGTGTTTTTATGCAACATGTGAAACATTGGAATTACTAATAAATGTCTCATTTACATCGTACTTAAAATGTCACTTTCTTAATGTAACAAATAACTAGCGTGATATAGTAACCAGCAATTAGTTTGAGTGGTCAGCGTAGATATGTCTCTATTTAAAGAAGTCGTGATTTTCCCACTGACTCACGTATAATGTAAAAAACTTTGGCCACTTTTTTGCCTCCACTTGTTTACAGCTCAAAAACAACCGTAGTCTGTATGATTTAGGAAAAGATTTGTACTTCCATTTGTTACAGAGTTTGTTTGAAGTTTTAAATATTAATTAGTTCAAATCAAATATCAAAATTCAAGACAATTATTTATAACTTCTTTATGTACATAAATAATAGAGAATTATGTAATTTAAGACAATTACGTAATATGCAAAATTTAAGACAATCATGTATGTTCTTTAATTTATCATAAGATCTATTAGGAAATGTTCAAAAGCAACAAATAAAATGAAAAATGTTCACCTGGTACACATTTTTATATTAGACATAAAGTTGTTTATTGTATTGTACAAATTTTAAAACAATTTATCGTAAAACATTCGATACCGACGAATGTCAGTCTTCTCCTTGTAGCAAAGAACACTCGTGCTTAAATATCCCAGGATCATACGAAAGCCTATGCTCAAATAGACACATTTTTTCAAATCCAAAAAGAAATGTTTCGGTAAGTTGGTCTTTCTAGATCTTATATTATATGTTGCAAGCTTACCCGGCTACATAAAAATTCTCTAGAATAGACAAATTCATAATGTCATTATGGTCATTAAGACAATAACATCTAATACCAGTTAATACATTAAATATAATACATTATACATTAAATACATTTATACATTTAATACCAGTTAATACCAGTTATACATTTAATACCAGTTGCCTTCATACATTTGTTATACATTTAATACCAGTTGCCTTCATAGTCCTCTATGAAATAGTGTTGGTATTAGTACTGTACCACATTCCAGAAAAACTTTGCTACCAGGTCTTTTCATCATATTGCTAATAAAAAGGATCAAAACAAACTTTGCTCCATTTCATGGGTTGTTGTTGCAGTGACCGACCCCTGACTGTTTCTTTATACTCACTATCCACGGTGGATAAGGTCTTTTTAGCGTCAGGGATATTATTTTTTAAAAATATTGGTAAAATTTGGTAAATAATCTCATAAATTGACAATTACATAGAAAAGTATGTTGCGTTTCATAAACAAAACAGGAAAGCATCAGTATGTTTGGTGTTAAAGAGAGTGTTTGCAATTACGGCTTTCTTTGATGAACAAATTAATCATTTCGTTGTTATAAAACGTTGTTATTAATAGACGCCACATCATTTTTTGTCACAATGTGAGTTTATGTTATAAACTTATTTTATGGCTCACAGAAAGTTGATCGTTAATTTATTCTATTTACGAAGACGATGTTTACTCGATCCTCCGTCAGCATTTTCAGCCATTTAAGCCTCCGTCGTCTTTGCTCGTTTGGGATAGGAAACAAAAACTTAAAGTTTGTACACATTTAAACTGACATTGTAACCCTATTAATTTTAACTTTATAATGCAGAATATCATGAGAAACTTACGTACATCTGTGCACTCTTTTGTTCAGTAAAGCAACTCCCCCCCCTCCCCCCCCACTTCTACAGCAGGGCATGTTTTGGTCGGATGGTCAAAACGGAAATTATTTCATCACCAGAGCACGAGTATACGTCTGAGCAGGCGTCTTGAATTGAAAATTAAAAAATAAGCGTGATGGCCGACTGAGACCTTTAAAGCAAGTATTCTACAACATTTCTTTTTTGTTGCCGAATTAATATGATTTTTAACATCACACTGAGTTTGAATTGTTTAATACGCGAATATTTCTTTGAAGTTATTGAAAGAACTCGTTCACGAAGTCGAAAATACGTTAACACAACTGTTGAACAGTTCTGGCATTGCGGAGATTTTCGTTGCACAAGGTAGGGTGCTCTCACCAAAGTTTTTATCATTTGCTTCTTTATCAAAGATTTATTCCTTCATACAGGATTTTTTTTGCTAAGCTGTTGGAAAAAGTCGTTACAAGTAGTTAACAACCGTTGAAGACTTAATCCATTGCGAAATTTTTTGTGTCATATTTATGGTGTATGGCAATAATTTGTCAATCAAATATTTATACCTGCACTATGTAAGGCTGAAACACCCTTTGCAGTCGCTTTCGTCGCGCGAGATAGCGAACTGATGCGCGCACGTCATGGCCGATTGAACGTCGGGAACACACATGTACAAGCGAGCACTCCGTCATGATTGTATAAAGTGTTCTGAAAGAACAGTTAATTTGCTCCACATGGACAGTATTTAGAGAAGAATATGAATAAAATATTTGAACATGGAGAAGCCATTGCCGAGTAAAGACTACCGTAAAATATGCTGTGAAAAAAGAAGAAATGTAATCGTTTGTGTACTTGACCATATCTACCCAAATATTCACATCATTCCTGTGAAAAATGGTTAACGTCTACAGTGTAATCATATAATTGATTACATTATAATGGTGTAATCGATTTCCTAAGTTAAAAACGAAACGTTCGCTAAAGTTGATTTTATTTAACACAGTTTTATTGTTAAGTGGGTGTTTAACAAATTATTTGCTGGGCAATGATATTCATTTAAAAATTGAATAACTCATTGTAAAGCATTTTAAAATAACTTTCACATTATCAATATTCTAATATTGATAGTTCAATTTAGAATTTATAGTCCAGCAAAGAATCTGGTACTTCCACTTGTAACAGTGGACTCACCAATTTTAAATAATCAATTATTTCTACTTGCATTAAATTGTCAGAAAAATCATTTTGTTCTGAATGTGCTTCGTTAGAATTTTCTGATAACGTAAAAATATTGTTCGTACATTGTCTTAAATAAAATTCATTCTGCTCTGATTTCACCGTAAA